AGGCCGCTAAGGCGACCTGGCAGGGTCACCCCAGGCCACATACTGGCGGCTGGCACTGTCAGGGGGGCCGAGCCCCTAAAGTTGGCCCAGGGTGTGGGGCACATGTCTGGGCCACCCTGCCTGCAGCACCAGCCTGGTGGGGAAACTGAGGCAGGACACAGGCCAGCAGGGACCAGAATGGGAAGGCTCAGCCATGCGGGGGATGAGAGGCAAGCACAGGGCGGGCTCTGGCCTATGATTTATCCCCTCCACTAGGCCTCCACTTGGGATGGATCCAGGCACGAACAAGGCTGCTAGCACGTCCAAACGCCACCGTTAACTCTGCGCTTTCCCACCACTGTGGGCAAGCATTGCCAAACCCACCACTCCCGGTAGGGGATTGAGGAGGGCCACCCCATCCCTGATGCTCCATCAGCTCTCTGAGCTCCCCAGTGCCTGCCTGTGGGCAGGGCTCCACCGCATCCCACCGGCAGCAGGCAGGAGCTGCCCACTCCCCTGCTCGCTCCCCCACGGGCGCCAGGAAGGCTGGGCACTCTCCTCTGCAGCCCCTTTCTTCTCCCAGGTTATAATTACACCTCACTGGGCAGCTCAGGAAATACCAACTTCTTCCCCAGAGCGTCTCTCAGAATAGCAAGCGGCACGGCCAGGCTCATTCAGCATGCACCGAGCTTTGTGCCGCCACCCAGACGCTTCCTCCCGTCGGGCAACCCTGGCACTGCCCTGGCACAGTCCTGGCACAGCCCTGGCACTGCTTGCTGCCACCTCCCCAGCTGGCCCTGGCCTTTGCCCCTTGGCCAGGGTCTCCCGGCAGCGGCAGCCCGGGCCGGAGATGAAAGGGGAGGGAGCGGAGACGCTTCGATCGGGCAGCACATGCCCACCTGATGCTGTTTACCTTGCGATAAGGCTGGGCAGAACAACAAACACACAGAGTGGCGGGTGGCCCTGGGGAGGTGGCGTGGGCTGGGGGCAGTGGGTTCACTCCTCTCACTGCATGCCCACCTCAGTTAGGGACCCTCTGCTCTGGGCATCTCCCCTGGGATCTCTTCCCTCGGGGTGCCCCCACACAGATAGGATGTTGCCACCTTTGCGGCCACGTTGGGCAGCCCATGAGCTGCCTGGCACCATCCCCCTCCTGACCGCCAGCCCCACTACCCGCTCGCCCAGCCTGGTGGCATGGGCCCGGCCACGTGCGTGGCCACAGAACCTCCCCCCCCGCTGTGGCACCCAGGGCCATGTTCCTGGGGGTGCTGAGCAAGCTGCATCGATTTCCCGGCATGCGCCTGTCCACTGCCTGCCAGCTCTGGGGAACAAGGACAGCGACAGCTATGCTGCAGCCAGACCTCTCACAAGCTGATCCTGCTGTCCCACTGCTTGCTGACCCAGGGACATCATCCCCTCCACCAAACCTACGATGTGCCCAGGCAGCCCAAGCTGGGCCCCGGTGCTCTGCAGAGGCAGAGTGTTCTGCAGCCGGTGTTCTGCAGCCCCCGCAGAGGGAACACCAAGCTGGATGCGTGGGGCGGCACGTACCCTCCCGCTGGCCACGTCCACACGCCAGGGGAGGCTACGTTTGGTCTCGCATCCCGGCCAGCACACACGCCTGCCCGTCCTTGCTGGGATGGAGACACATGTGTGGAGCGGCAGGGCTACCAGATTCCTGCCCTGCCCTGGCAGGAGTCCTGGGCTTATCCCAGCCCCCTGTCAGCCTTCCCCAGGGACCAGAGTACTATGGTGGGGGACCTGGTCCTGGAAGGGGCTGCCACACGTATTACCTCCACACAGACTTTATTTAAAAGGTGGAAAATCCCAGCTGAGAGCAAGGCACAGGTGGGAGCAAGAGGCTGGGGTAGGGGAGCTCTGTCATCAATACCAGCTGACATGTCAGATAGGGGCTCATTGCATCCTGCAATGCTGCCAGGAATGCATGTATCACCCTGGGAAAGCATGGCCCTTGTGCTATGCCAGTTCCCCCAGTCAAGCCTCAGCACAGT